TTATTATTAATATTATTAATATTTTTGAAACAAACTGTATAAGAGTAACATCCAAATTATTAAAACTTAAAGTTATACTTCTATAGTTGATATAACAAGTAGGTAACGGTCTTGAAACACATTTTCTCAATTTTATGGGACATCGTTCTCGATTCTTCTTTGTATCATAAAGTATGCCACGCTCTATTGTTGTTTTGTTTCTAGTGTTTTTCTTCTTTCTAACAGTTGATTACTAATCTTTAGTAAGAGATAAAGTTTGTAATTTAGATGTATCAGGAGACACCTAATCGAATTTCGATAATTCTTTCATCAATATTTAGAATGGACCTTCAGGGTAGAGATAGGCTGTATTTTATTCCATTAAAATTGAAAGGCTTTTTGTGAAGACCAATTCGAAATCCTAAGTCGACGAAAAAATGGTCGCTATTATTACGTATAAAAACATTAACACTTCCGTCTTCTTATGGGATACCAACCTATTACAAAAAAAAACATGTAAATTTTAAATGATTCATTTGTTTTCTATTCATCTCATTTTAATTTATAGTTGAAAACATTGAAATTTATACCTATTATTGTTCCTTCATCAACAGGTAGATATAATTTTATTCCTCATATCCTCTAACTAATTTTTATCATTAAATTGAGGCATTGAGGCTAACGAGAAGAGAGAGGATCCACTTAAAATACAAAAATGCTTCTTGACCGCATGAACGTGCCGCAAACTTAAATTACATACCTAAACCATCAATCCGACAGCCCACTTCCTTATTGACGTAATCTTAACAAAAATTGTGACAATCGTACCCCGCAGCTATTGAATTACCATCCAAATTATGAAATTATGTTTATGTAATTGAGCAACTAATTGCTTTGAAGCAGCAATTGCAAATTAGAGTTGTACATACGGAAAATGATGGGTTGACACTGGGTCAGCCAAGAGGTAATTGGCACTAACACAATTTTTAATAATAGTTAATAAACGATTTGACTGCATACCCATTATTTACACGTACATTAAATGTTTTTACGCATGTATGAAGTACCCGTTTTCACATCACTTCACATCTTAAATTTAGATTTTCTTCTGCTTTCCTTTACTCCTATTTTCCTTTAATACGCGGTCTGTTAAAAAAGTATCACTAATTTTGTGTTTTTCAAAAATTATTTTTTTTATTCATGAATCATCATTTTGTCCTCTTCAAACTAATCCCCACCGGATACTATAAACTTATGCCAACGTTTCTTCCAATTCTCGAAGCACTTCAAAGAATCTTTTTTTTTTTTCAAAAGTCACAGGGGGCCAGATCTGGGGCATACGGTGGCTGCGGCATTATTGGTGCGTTGTTTATGGTCAAAAATTCGCGCACGAGCAACGATCTGTATCCAAGGGCGTTACATGCTACAAAAGCAAATTTTTGTTCTTCCATAAATTCGGGCGTTTCTGGCAGATTGCTTCGTGCAATTTGCAGGAAATATCCCTTATAGACCGTTCCACCCTGTGGAAAGAACTCATGATGCACCACGTCCCTGTAATCGAAGAAAACTTTAAGCAAAAAGCTTCACATTCGACTTGACGCGCATTTTTCGGTCTTGGCTCTTGCGGCAGCTTCTATAGGGATAATTGAGCTTTGCTTTCGACGTCATAATTATAAATCCATGATCCGTCACCAGTTATGACCCTCTGGAGTCCAACAGCTCCTTAGTAATGTTAATGCGATGCTGTTTCTGGTCTTAATCTAGAAATTTTGGTATGAATTTCGCGGCGACCCGTCTCATGCCCAAATCATTAGTAAAAATTGAATAGCAGAAGCTAAGAGATATGTTAAGGTCCTCAGCAACTTTTCTAACGGTGATTCGATGATTGGCTAGTACCGTTTTCTTCACTTCATCAATGTTTTCGTCTTTCAGTAGTGGAGCATATTCTACAACCACCACTGCTGACAACAAGGGATAATCAAGCTACACTAAACAACTACATTAATTATTTATTATTTTAACGCATTACATTGTACACTCAATTAGAAAGAGATGCGATTCATAAAGGTATAAGCATATGGTTCAAAACAATGTACCACGAATGCAATGAAGTAGGTTCATATAGAACAATGTCCCTTATATATATTAAAATTTATTTTATAGATAGATAGATAGAGATAACTTCAAATGGTACTTTATTTTAAAAGATAATTTTGAAAATTATTATTTCGTATTTTGTATTTGGTACCTTCTTTTATAATAACTTTAGATTTAGTGTTTGTATTTTGAATGTTTTCTTTCAGTGCACGTAATGACCCATTTTCGTATTTTGCACTGTGTACACCTCTTATATGACCTCAATTTGTCGAAATTCAATTGACTGTATGCTGATTTAGAAAGGTACTTAAGTACATCAAAAATTTATGTCAATTATTTTACAGTGTATTGTATGATTCTTATGTTTACATACAAAAGAAACATACATTAAGTAATTGTGCCAATTGCTTCGTAAAATCAAATTACGAATTATGAGATGCTTCTGTAAGTGTTACAGAATGCTATTCAACTTATTTTTCCTTTCATAAACATCTTTCAATTTGGATACTATTACCACCGTTCCCATATTAAGTATATAAAAGAATTGGTCTTGTAGTTTAGTTGTTGTAAAAAAAATACACGTGTATAGAAAAAACTTACATAACTTTTGTCAGTGACAAATTAACTAGCCTTTCAATAATTTCAAATTCTATTCAAAAATAGTTGAACATGAATTAAAGATTGTTGATAGTTAATATTTATAGAGGCTATGTGACCGAAATATTCAATTTCACAACAAAAATTGTTACTTCGTGGATCATGCACATGTATCATGCTAATAATACTGTGCAAAATAATAAAACTCTGACATAAATGCACTAGGTAGTAGGAATTTGACGTAGATACACCAAGAATAAAATAAAATTAAATAAGTACCTATTTAATATGTGCCTCACAGAAAATAAAACATTTTGAATTAAGCTATTAGATAACAGACACTTTAGAAGTATGAATTGTAATTTGATTAGGTGTTGCATTATCTAGATTATAAACTTTGTTGTACAAAATTATTATTCTATATACAGTTACTCAACAAATAAAGTACCTATATTATCCTTTCTAACTGGTTTCTTGTTTTGTTGCAGGCTATAGTCTTTCTACTGGATAAATTTGTGTGGATGCTATTAATTACTGTGATAGCTACCCAAGCGCTGCAATTTGCTGGCGTTGTACCAACTCCCAAAGGTTTAGAAGAAATTTCTTACGAAAAGGTGATAAATAATGGAATTAATAAACCTACTCATAATATAAAAACAATATAAATTTTAATGAACCAAACAATTACATGTCGTTGNTCGCATGAATGAGTTACAGTCATTTTGATAATTTCGCTTCTTATTTTTTATTGATGGAAGGTCGTTACTAGTCAATATTATAATTAGAACTAATTCAAAAAGTTCTAATTATATCTACGAGTTATATGGAAAAGAAAATAGTAAAAGAGACACTCATATATTCGCATATTAATAAAATCGGGCTAGACCAAAAGATAAACAGAAACTAATCTAATAATTCGTTTACTTTCATAATTATTAAATTTATTAATTTTAGTTAAGCATGCCATAAATTCTGTCGATCGAGAACTTTTCATTAATAGTTAAGACAGAAACACGAAAAAGTTTAATATTAAATCATGCAAACATTAGGAAAATGACGCAAATATGTAAAAATCTAGACAAGAATTAGCGTAAGAAGTCAAAAAACTTTCAGCGAAAGAGAGAGTAACCGATTAGTAATAATAATCATTCGATTTCACCTGTAAGTAGGTACATCATTTATAATAAAGCTTAATAACACTTCTCATCGATATTGTGTTGAATACACTGTGTGAAACGGAAGGAGTTTGCAAAGTGTTAAGTACTTCCGGACACTAACGAATAACAAGCAATTATTATTTTTTTGTGTAAATACATTACAACTGGAGAAAGCTATAAGTTAGACGACTGCAAAGAATCCTTAAATTGATATCGCATTTAAACTAATAATTAAGAGAGAAGGAGTTAAGTCAAATAAATAGTTCTAATTGTTATTCACATTTTCTAAACTGAAAAACTATTTTACTTCTAATTTTAAACAGAAAGAAAATCATCGACTTGTGTATGCATTAATTATTCATAGACATAAAAATATTTCAGTTTTTGAAATACAATAGTAGTATACAAATAGTTGTAAATGATCGGTACATTAGTTATTAACCTCATATCTAAAATTGCAAAGATTATTTGTTTCTTCATTTCGAAGAACCTCTGTTTGTTTATCTAACACAGCGGGATAACTATGGGATATTATAGGAATATATTGTCTGATCGGTTTGTCACAAATGTGCAAAAGAATTTTGAGACTTCTGCATTACAAAGTTCACCGTGTATTATTTCTTAAATTAAAGGGTTACTAACAGCCCTAGTATATCCAATATCAAAGGTTATGCGTTTTTCAATGTATGGAGATAAAAATTTCAAAAAAGTTGAAGAGATGTTTTAATTAAAGCTTAAATAGTTAGTTTCACTCAATTTTCAAACCTGTAATAATTGTCTGTAGGACAACAACTATGAATTCCAATTGGGAATAGGAGATTCCGGACCAAGGGGTAAAAGACAAACCGATGGTGCCGGAAATATAATCGACAACATATTTAATGTGAGTAGAAACTTTAGTATTGTGTAATTTTCACTTAAGAAAAAAACAATTGAATGTTTTTACTGAGTAGAAGAATTTAAAAAGCATTGTATGTAAATTTACAAGCCCACATAAAAGCAAAATAGAAACACAGTAGTTTTGTAGTTATTGTATAATGAAATGTATAAATATTGCTTTTTATTGCTTTAAAGTAGTTAAGATTTCGTTCATTTTATTCAGGCAACACTTACATATAGGTAGTTTATATGTATTTACGATAAATTCAAAACTAAATTTTGTAGAAGCGAAAAACTTCGCTGTCACAAAAATGAAACTGTCCAAATTTGAATCACCAAACTTATACGTAGAATTCGCTTCTTTTTTGCTTTGTAGCACACACTAACATTTGTATTAATTTGTTAGATGCGTTTCGATAGAGGCGATATCGTCTTCAGGCATAGACCGTATAGAGTAATAAGAGCTGTAATGTAAAATGTAAGTGTAGTTTATTTCAGAGCAATAATCTCCTTATAATTCCCATTCATACAATACGTTTTCCGTTTTCTACACATGTGAATTATTATTTTGCAGATTCCAATTGCAACCCTTAATGCGGTAAGTGAGTTAATAAGAAACACACGGGCAAGAAGGCTTCAGAGGATTCAAGAAAGAGCCGAATTAGAGAAAGCCGTTGATACTGACAAGAAAAGGATTCAAAGAGCTTCTCCTGATCATCCCTTAGCCAGCCTTGATGCACATTTGGATGAATCGAGTGCCAAAGTTTTATTGAATTTGTAATCCCGATGCTTTACACTTAGAACTTTTCTAAAGTAGACTTGTAAGTTCGTTTTAAATCAAGGCAGCCATTGTGCAATAAACTTAATGAAAATTGTAGAATTCCCAAGATGGATCTTGAAATGTGCATACATATAGGTATATAAATTGAAATATTAAAATAAGAATAACTTGCATTTGTGATAAAAAAAAGGACAGTGAAATAAATTAGGGTTAATGTAGTAACATGAAATATTCTCTCTAACTGTAAAAGACTGGCTAAAACATTTTGCTGAACTTATGCTTTAAATAACGTTTATTAGGTAATATTAGATAAATAAAATTGTATGATTTAAATTTATTGTAAGAATGTAAATAAATATTTTAGATANTAATTTGTTGTTAAAAATTATCAAATAAATACATGGTAAAAAAATTCTTCAGGATGTTATGGCTCAAATAGTTGAAAACCCGGAGGAGAATTCAAAATCCTTCCAAAAACAAAGTGAACCTTGTACATCGAAAAACGAAAAGGATGATACATTTAAAGACAATGCAGGGGGTGACTGTTCAGAAAATAATTTAGATAATCCGTTGTTAAGGTATAGTACATATCAGAAAAAAACGTCTCTGCAATGTTGCTTCATCATTCTTCTCTCTATCATTCCCAAAATACAGTTTCAATTAATGCAATGTCACTGCATAGTCAAAGTATAACTGACAACCCTGAAAAAATTATAATTTTATGACAATTATGTAAAAATATGTGTTTTATTTCACCAAAAATTATAATAACAATATGCGCATATAAACTACTGCATACTTACATCTGCTACTGACCACAAAAATAACAAAAATATTTTAATAATCTCATGAATATCAAATCGTATTTTCATTCTTTTCACTTAATGCATCACTACATAACAGAAGGATTTAAATATAAAATTATTTGTGGTAATTAGGGGTGAGTATTCCTTTTAATTTTTAATTAATATTTACCACAGTCTCCTCTTTCTACTAAGTAAAATAAGAACATATCTGTACGTTGAGTTGCCTAGGAACTCGAGTGTGAAGAAAATTCGAGTCGGGTTGCTCGCTTGATCTACCGTTGAAGTCTAACATAGTTTAAGGCAAACAGTAGGTACAAATGCACCTGCTACTAAAAGTCTACAAGAGGCAGTCATGAAATTTGAACTACATTCAGAATATGGATGTAAGTTTTACAATAACTAGTGCTAAGGCAATTCTAAATAAGATAGTAATTCAGCAATAAAAGATAAGTCAAAGATAACTGTTCTCTCTGATATTTTGTCCGTCAATTTCACGAGTTCTCGTAACTATGCTCATAAAGTGGACGACAATTAAATTTTTAAGAAGTTGAGGTTCTATTATTTTAAAATCTAAACGAGCTCTTGCAGTTCTGAGGCTGGATTTAAAAACAGCGTAGTAAACTACGTCAAAATTGATATGTCTTGACTTACCTTTTAGGTTCACGTTGACCGAAAAGCTTTTGATAGTGCAGGTTCAAATACGCTAATTGCACAAAAACACAAAGAACTTCAACAAGTAGTATATATTTAATAAAAATCTTAACAATTGTTTCAAATAAGAAGACATTCAAGGGTGCAACTATAGTTTTTTTTATGTCTTTTGTGCTATTTGCAATTGATTATTAGTAAATGTTTAATTTTCCAAAATTAATNAAGGTAATGACAATAAGTCTTTTTTAGGGTTCCGTACCTCTAAACGAAAAAATGTACTCTTAAAAAGGATCACTTCGCTGCTCGTCTGTTAGTCTGTCTATTAAGACCCTCTTTCTCAGGAACACGTGGAGGTATCAAATTAAAATTAATATCAAATACTCAGGTCTATAATCCCTTGGAGCACTGAAAAAATCAAACTTCTAAGTCAATGTTTTGCATAATTTGACACTCACAAGAAAATTAAAACCTATAAGGTATTTTCCGATGGCCTAAAATCATGAAATTTGGTAAGAAGTAATCTTACAGCACAGGTACAACGAAAACCGAAGAAAAATAAATTTGAAATTGCAAAATTGTAATTATACGTTTTGGGGACTGATTTTAAGAGAAACTTAAAGCATATTCGGAAAAATATGGAAAAATCTTCCAGACTATTCTCGTGACTAACGAACCATTTACACACCTACACGTTTATAGGCTGCACCTGAAAATGCAACACTCTGAACCACCTAAAAAATCTGTTTCAGATGAGTTAGCGATACATTTATAGNCAAGGAAAAAATAAGAAATTTTAAAAGCAAATCCTTTTCGATTTAAAACTAATAAGAATAATTAAAGGTTATTCCATAACTAATTATGTTCCTTTCCGTATGGAAAACTATCAAGCATTTAAAAGCAATTAGTTGGTATGTGAAGCAACATAATAAAAACGAGAATAATTTTAAATGAGGATCTTGAACTTCATTCAACAAAACGTTATCAAAAAACTCATGTACTAAGTTGTAACACATTTCCAAATCAATATAGCATTTAACATGTTTGTATGCCAATCGCTTCACTTCTACAAAAGTGGATGGAAAATCAAAGTTTTCTTGATGATAATACTAATAGAAACAAATTTTCAATAGGAACAGATGATGATTCACAGTCTAATAAAAGCAGAACTTTAAAAATCTTAGATGAAGATACAAATTAATACGCATGAGATCGGTTGGTTTACAATTAGTTTGATTTAGTTTCCAATATCTTCAAAATTAGATAATACAATCTTACCATCATTAATAGACGCAAACTCATCTATATAACCTTTCTATTGAAGTTATCAATTTCTGATACAAATAATTTTTCAATTAAGACACAGTAATTCGCTGAATTGAATGCAGCATATCAGTCCGTCTAAGCTAGGAGCTTTATGCCAGTAGATGGGTCGATGGGTGTTTAGGCGAGCGGTAGGGGTTTCCGAAAAGGCTGAAGAGGACCTTAATTGGTCCTAGAACGACCTGAGGTAGAGGGGTTTTAGTCTGTAGGTCCGAGGACTTCTTCGTCAGGAATCCGACACTACCCAGTCGTACGGACGGCTGGGTGCCTTTTGAAGATTTCCCCTCTTCAACGAAAATGTAAAAAAAAAGTTTCCGAACTGCGGCCCAGTTCAGTAATGTAAAAGATGACAACGAAATCGACTATCTATAGTTAGAGACCCAGAGAATTTAGTCTGCAAAAAAACGTATTTACATAAGCGATAAGTTTTAATAACTAGTTAGCAAAAATACAAAGTTGAATAGATAAACTTTTTGGCACCCTCAAAAAAAAAAACAGGTATATAAATGTAATCCAGAAGATGATGATGAAATAAACATAGAGCTGGTTTAGAATTCTTCCCAATAGTTCAATATACCTGCGGAGATATAAAACAGAGGGTAGCGCAGTGTTCAGTCACCTTTACAAAAAGAAGTAACTTCTAATTTAGAAATTCGAAAAAGAGTTACTTTTCAAAAAAGTTAAGAATGTGGGATTTTCTAGTTTTAGGGAAATGCGAAAATTAGCTCAGGAAAGGAAAAAATGAGGTGCGGATCCGACCAGTCTTAGGACTGACGAACTTATGATGAAGATGATGGTATAAATAATTAATTAAACGCACAGTATATCATGAAAACAAAATATTAGAAAAACAGAGTGCAACATACAGACTGTTAATTGCTGCTTCTATTGCACAAATTATAATTATAATTAGAAATTATAATGAAACAAAATCTAAAATTAATAATACTACAGTGTAGGAAATTTCGTTTCGATAAACAAATGTAAACCGTATAATGTGGAAATTTAAACAATTTGCGCGAATGGAAAAAACGGATTGATATTTTTTTCTTTTTCTTTCGCAGAACTCTTTTATGGCAATTTGCTCGGAATAACAGTTTTGCTAAAGCATATTCAGTATCTAAAGCAATGATTTTTGACCTATTCCAACAGATAGGCATTAGCATCTTCAGATAATAAAAAAAATAGAAAATGTTATAAAATACAGAAGTTGTTATGTTCTTCGGTTTTACCACAAGTAGTAAAGGTACAAATGATCAGCCTTGGATCAGTGCCTCCGGTGGCATGTTTATTTCCACACACTTTATTTACTCTTTCATATAGGTATATAATTAAGTTTCGTACTTGGTGAACCGTCAGTAGTTTACATCGTCTCACTCACATCAAAGTTGTGCATCGTGAAATAGTAGCCATTCTTCTTGGTAAGTCGGTCTTTTGTGTTTACTTTTTGGTATTAAAGTTTTTTTACCTTGACTGATGAGCTGTTCACTATAAGATCATTTTATTTACATTTTTCAATTCACTATTTCGTCAACTTTATAATTTAAATAATTGCTTCGTGAGCGAAAATAATAAAGATTACAATTTGGACCCGAATTTGTAAAAATAAAATCCCAGCAGAAATAAATTTACTAGGTATTTTAGTTGATATTACAAATTAAATTGTAATAATTAAGAAACTTGAAATAATTTTTAATAAAACATGTCAAAATTGAGATTATTACAAGTTACCTAATAAATTCTACTATTTCTACAGCAAATTGAGTCATTTATATTCAAAAATTAAAATTTTCGCATTGTCATTCTTAGACAGACTCCAGTTTCAGCGTCTTTTAGCGTCTCTGAGAGCGTCTCTCACAGTCTTTTACAGTCTCTCAGTTATTGCCTAGGAGTTTTTATGGATCTCTCACAGTCTCTGTATGAGAGACTCGAACGATAAAATTGTTAATTCAGAGATTCGAGTCTCTCACAGAAAGATTGAATAAATAAAAAAACTAGTATGTAAG